CCCAAACAGACCTCCGTATGTGCGGGCGTTCGTGGTCCCTTACGGGGTCTGAACCTGACGACGTTCGACCCCCGCCTAAAATTGTTTCGAGGACAAAAAAAAATTATTTTTTTTTTGAGTTTTTTTTTTTTTTTTGCGAGTTGTCTGTGACGTGACGTACATGCATGTAAAATGTCAAGTCATTTGGCTAAGACAAATAAGAATTACAAATCGCCATAGATGGCGGTGTTAAAACGTGCTCGCCCACATATTTTTTTTTTGGGTCCGCGTTCGGCCCGCAAACGGCCGAACGCATCCCCGAACGGCCCGTCCTGATCGCCGGTTACCATATATATATCTATATATATATATATAGATATATATCGAAAGTTGAAGATTTATATTATATGTATATTTGTACATAAATATTATATGTAATAGAATATTATGTAATACAATATTTATATACAAATAGACATGTAATATAAATCTTGGACTCGTGACAAATGTATCTGTATGTATGACTCGTGTGTTGTCTTGTACTCTCTCGGTGCCTACGGTTCACCGGGCAGTTCAGTTTGTGACGATATGTATATATATATACATATTTGACGATATATATATATATACAGGGTTACCAGCCCGTACGTACGGAGGCGCCCGGGCGGACCTCCGTACGATGGGCGTTCGGGGTCCCATATGGGGCCCGAACCCGACGGCGTTCGGCCTCCGCCAAAAATTATTTCGGGGCCTAAAAATATATTGTTTTTCTGAATTTTTTTTCATGAGTTTTCTATGACATGAGGTACATGCCTATAAAATTTCAAGTCATTTAGCTTAACCGAATAAGAATTAAAAATCGTCAAAGATGGCGGTATCAAAACGTGCTCGCCCACGTTTTTTTTCACTTTCAACTTTTTGTTTTCACTTTAGTTCGGGGTCTAAACAATTTTATTATTTTTTGAAACTTTTTTAGTGGGTTTTGTGTTATGTGAAGTACACATCTGTCTATTTTCAGGGCATTCATTTATGCCAAAAAAAAATGAAAAATCGCCAAAGATGGCGGTTTCGAAAACATGCTTGCACACTCACTAAATTTAATTCTCTTTTTATTTTAATTTATTTTTATTATTAGTATTTGTTCTGTGTATTTTATTTTTATTTCAAATTTGGTAAGAAATTAGGAAGTAATGCTCAGGCAAATCTTGTTTAATTTATTTTTCTCCATACCATATCTTTTTTTCAGATGTTTTTAATGACTGTTTTTTTTTTTTTTTTTTTTTTTGGGTCCTCGTTCGACCGGAACGGCCGAACGCATCCCCAAGGGGTCCCATACGTTCGGGCGTTCGGGTCCGGGCGTTCGGGTCCGGGCGTTCAACCCGTCCCGAACGCCGGTATATATATATATATATATATATATATATACATAGTTACAAACAGAATTGGCCCGTATGGTAACCAACGTCCAGGCGTTCCTTAGTG